ACGTGGGTTTTCACTCAAGAAATTACAATATTGTGGTAGAAATGGTAAAGCAGTTAATTTCAAGATAGTATAATGGGGGGCTGAGGAAGGCACAGACAGGGGTGGGAGTCTCGAGAAACGTCCTGAAGCAGTTAATGCCTTCAAGTCTATTTCCTCCTCTCATCTGCAAAGGAGATACGCTTGAGCAAAGTTCGGAATTACACAACTGCATCATGCATCAGGGCAGAAGGGAAAGATTTCCAATTTTCTATCTGTTAGAACCCGTGCTGTTATACCTAGGGGGCTCATGGCTTAACCAACATTTTTTGTTTCTCATTGAGAACATGGACTCAATAAAAGTTAATTAAAACAATGTACAATGTGACCCTGTGTGAACTAATTACTGTTAATAGAAACAAGCTTTTCTCTTCTGTTCCTCACTCATGGAATCCCAAGGAAACGTTTGCCATGGCTTTACAGAGCTCTGTGTGGGCTCGTGGATTTCAGCATCTTGCTCCTACTGGAGACCATAAGAATGGATGGCTGGGCCACCAGGGGTGGGGTAAACTGAGGGTCTACTTTGCTGTCGTTCAGTGGAGACTCCCCCTAACAGACGGGAGAGCTAAGATGAGTGGAGGCTCGGGTGAGAAAGTGGGAAAGACTGTGTGTCGGATGGTGTGAGTTAAAAGTCTATGTAGAAAGTTGTGAGCCACGATAGAAGGGTTTGGGGGATTAGAAAGCTTTTCTCGGCTCTTTTCAAATAGCATGTGACAAAATAGCAGTTGGGATGCATTTGGCTGCAAGTAATAGAAACATTAATTCATCATGATTGGAACAGTTAGGTGGTTCATTGTTTCACATAATAAAAAATCCAGAAAGTTCTTGGACTGATTGATTCCAGAGTTGATTAATTCACTATCTGCCCAGAGGCTCAAAGATCCAGGTTATTTTGGTCTTTCTACTTGACCATCCTAAATGTTTTGGCTTATCCTCATGGGCTGCTCTCCCGATAGCCTCAAGATGACTGCTCTGGTTTTAGGAATGACACAGGCTCCCAACGACAAAGGCAGAAAAGCAAGTGTTCTTCATCTTATTTTTTTTTTTGTCGTTGTTATTGTTTTCAACAAGGAAAATATTCCCCAAAGCCCCATCTGCAGATTGCTTTTAGTTTCATTAACCTGAATTGCATTCCACACCCAAGCCTAAAACCAATCATCTGGCAAGGGGAAACCATTCCATCACTTTTGGCTTAGAACATGAATTCCCATCCCTGGGTAGGAGAGCAGCCTAGCCTTCCCTGAAGGGCTTGGTGACTTGGACAAGGACGAATAAAATCGAAGTTGTATTTACAAGAAAATGGGTGGATGATCTTGGAAGGCAACTATCCAGGCTAAACAAGAATTCTTTACTTTCTTTCCTTGGATTTGTGGGACTTGGGGAATTGAAGATTGCCCCTTTGGTCATCTCATTTCTTCTCCTTGTTAGCAAGAAGAAGAAATAAGAATTAAATCAGACAAATGAGCAAAATATAATAAGAATCTGTTTGATTATAGTGAGAATACTGGGGAGCAGAACATGTATGAGCAGGTGGGGGAGCCCTTAGAGAAATCATGGAGGGCCACAGCTTGGCTGCTGCTGTGTGGGGCCTTTCCTTTCTGTGCCCTTCACACTTGATGCCCCACCCAAGAGACCCATCATTTGCATATTCTCCTCTCTGCCCCGTCAAAGCATCAAATGCACTCACACCAGGTTTACATGACCAAGAAGCACAGCGTAGGGATTAAAAAGCAGATGTTCAACCCAGATCTGCTCCCTTATCCAGCTTTGCAACCATTTTGAGCATCCTTCTCCTCTTACAGAGTGAGAATATGCAACAAGCTGTTGCTGCCATCGTTGTCATTACTCATTGCACTGGAGCAAGTGACCTGCTAACAACTTTAAAACCTCAGTGGCTTAGAAAAAGGCTGTTTCTCACTAACAGTTCAGTGTAGAGGATTCTGATCATCAGATGACTCTCCCCCTGTGACCAAAGGACTCAGGATCCCATCCTTCCACCTTGTGGTTCCATTGTCTTCAACATGGGGTCTCTGAGGTTTCTGTAGGAAAAGTCATGGCTGCCTTAACTTGGCTTGGGACCACTCCGCTAGTGAGAACTAGGACCTATCAAGATATCGGGGGCCAGAATACACGACCTTGACGTGTGCCCAGGTAGGTACGTAACAAGCATCAGGCTAGCCTCTGCCTCATTATTATCATCATTTTGTCACCATTATCATTATTAATCCACATGTTGAAAGGGCAGTCACTCTCCAGATGTACATAGAGCCGCTCATGGTTCATTGGCGTTCGCTGCCTTAATCCCAGGAAGCCATTTCCAGGAGATAATGAAACTTACCTGCTGGTTTGAGGTGCTGAGAGAAGAGACAGCTGTCCATTTCTAAGGAGGGGGGGGGACGTCTGATGACTTTTGACTCTTCACAATCTCTGCCAACTGTCGATGCTGGTTCAGAAGGTGTGGAAATTAGAGCAGATGCTTCGATCTCCTCGGGTTCCTTTCCTGTTTTCATCTTCTAGTTCCTACCTCTCCAAGATCTCACCTCCCAACATTGCCACACTGAGAACCAAACCCTCAATGCGCAATCCCTTGGGGGACAAAGGAACATAGTCAAGCCATAGCAGCCCTTAGCTAACGGGTGGACGGTTTGTGGGTCTCTAGACTTCCCCAGGGGCCGGGCCAGTTGCCCTTGGAGCCTTGCTTGACTTCACATCCCTGTTTGGCTTCTGTTTCCATTAAGTCCCACTTCTTTACTTCCCTTCAGGGGACATCACCGAATAAATCAATTTCTTATCTCAGGGTCAGCTTCTGGGGTACCAACATAAGGCAGGATGTAAACTGAAGAATCAGAATTTTGCAGATTCCAGTTCCTGTTGAACCAAATAGCTGAGAGAGGTCTTTGGGTATATCATCATCTGCCTCCCACCTCAGCTGTTACATGTGTAAACCAAAAGATCAAAAAGGCAGGCTTTGGTGTGATAGGGAGTCCCTGAGTGGTAGGGGGACTCAGATGTCCCCTAGCAACTCATCAGCCCACAACTGGGCTTCAAAGGGTTCCAAGAAACTCGGCTCAGCCCACGGCCAGCCAGGTCATCTGAAGACTGAATTTAAATCAGCAGAGAGTGTCATCTCTATCCACTGAGTTAGACTTGCTTTTCTCAACAGGATATTTATACTGTGAACTCATAGAATTTGGATTGCAGAATATGAATTTCCAAAGATTCTTGCTGGGATTACACAGTCTGCCACATGTAAGGTCCGCCCAGCTGCGTGTTGACCATGTAAAAAGCCATTCCTTTCTTAACTGTTCCAATATGCGATCTCTTTGGTTTGGGTCGGGCTTGTCTGGTTGGGGAACTTCTAATTTCTCCCAAAGATTGGAGATAAGTCCAGTAATGATGTCAGAGTAGGTTCATACTAGGAAGAACAGAATATGTACCAGACTGAGCCACAAGCCACTAGGTAGGGGGGATTATGTGGCCTTAGCCGCTGTGGTATACCCTGTAAAGGGCCACCCAGTTCCTCTGACAATAAGGACTTACTGTCCCAGCAGTGGATAGTGCTACCAGCCCACAAAGATTGTGTGAGCTTCAGAGAGGGCCCCTTCCCAGGGGCTCAATCTAATGACGGATTCAATGCATGCTCAAGAGGGTGAGGTCACCCCAGCCCAACCTGGAACAGCTCTAAAGAGCCATCTGGCCTCCTCAGCCCCAACCCCAAGGGGCTGACCAAGAGTGTCCTGGGCTGAATTGAACTTCTTTGAATCTTTTCCCCCTGACACAGGTGTTTACTTTTTAACCAACAGTGTGTATGCACATGCTCACAGTCCCAGGTCAGAGTCTGCTTTCAAGAGCATCCAACCTGCCATCATCACATTCTCTCAACAGCCAGGACTTCAGGGGTGACATGCACAGTGGCCACAGTCAATGCTAGACTCAGCTTTAGAGCCTCCGGGTGCTTTGGATGCTTCTGGGGAATTGTCTGGCAGGGCAGGAGAGGAGAAGCCTCCAAGAGCAGTCTGCTGCCCAGGGCCACCTCATTTTGCTGCACACGGAGGGGTGGTGAGGCCTTAATGCTCTGTGCTGGGGTCAAGGCATCACCACCTAAGATCAGCTCCTCTTTATCCAGTTATCCCTGAATCCTCCTTCTCCCTGAGCCTCACATCCTGACCTTAGCAAGCTAGCCGGTCCTGCAGACTTTGCATTCCAAATATGTTCTACTCCCTTTCCTTTCCTCTGTTTCTACCCTAGCCAGTGCCACAATCATCTCCTTCCTGGATCCCATGTACCTTACCTCTTCATAATTCATCCTCGAAGATCTCTCATAATTACTTTTGATTCATAACCATCTTTGAACATTTGATATATGCATATGGTTCCTTGCCCCTACAAGATATTAAATATATGGATTTAAAATTTGTGTTCTGATTAGACTATGAGCTCAGATTTCTCAAGTCACAAGTTCTTGTTGAGTGTGTTGATGCCTGTTTTTCGGGGCTGAGCCTCTTCTTCAAATGTTTGGTGGATTTCAATTGTGTGTCAATCTCTTTTTCTCTGTTGTGGGTTTCAGCAAGTCTCTTGGGGCCTGGGAAGAAGCTGTTGCTTCAACTTAACACCATGGGGAATGTCAGTGTATGCCACCACCTAGGATGCTCCTGGTCCCATCTGCCTGTGAAGGATGCCTGTTCATCCCTGGTGTTACCAGCTGTCCAGGCCTCTGACTTGACCCTGTCCCCAGATTTCACACTGACAGTTCCCATTTAGGGGCAGAAGCAGTCTCTTCTGCCTGGAAAATCCTTCCCGACAATGCAAACTAAAGACCATCCTCGTGTTTTTCTCCTTCATCGCTCTGATCACAAGAGTTCATTAAATATTTATTTGTTTGTGGTCAGCCTTGCCTACTAAACCAAGATCTATGAAGCAGAGGTCAGGTCTTTCTGGACCACCAAAATACCTAGATCTGAATATTGCACTTTGACACAGGTTTATTTCAAGAAATATTGAATAATGTATTGCTTTTGCTTCCACACCAGATTGCATTTAAAGAAAGGAGTCTTAGCTAAACACATTTGGAAAACAGCTGCAAGAGAAGGCACACTATGGAATGAGAAGCAAAGCACCCTGTGCCTCCATGTAGATTCTGTGGGGTGAATGAATCCGAAGGGTTTCCTGTGCAAGGCCCCTGTTCCCGAGGCAGTGGCAGCTCTGTAGTCTCCCGGGCTCACTCTGGAGCCTGACTTCACCTTCCTGAGAGGAGGCAGCTCCTTTCCAGTGAACTCTGCAGCCAGAAGAGAAAGGCGGAGCCTGCAGAAGCTGCTGCAGGACTATTAGGAGGCATTGGAGAGAGTCTCACATTAGTAGCTGGGTTCTGGGGGAAGGGGGCTCAGCAGGCTGGAGGTGGAAGGAAAGGCTTCATGCTGTGTCACTTTTGAGTCATCCCCAGGTGCCAGCACACTCACCCCACCTATCAGCATGACCGTGCCATGTGCACCCATCTGCCCATTCCTCTTCACGGTGGTGCAGCTGCAGAAAAGAATACGCTGTGACACTTGAGGAGGAGAGGGAGCTTTGGAGAGCACAGCTACCCCTTGTTTTATAGGTAAGAGAACTGGGCCAGAGCTAGACAATTGGCCCAAGGTCACCTAGGCAAGTAAGGGGAACTGGGGCCAGAATGCAAAGCTCCTGATTCCCAGGGCATCTAGGACTGCACCAAACTGCTTGCACATTCTTTCTCTCACTCTCTTCCCTTTTTACCTTGTCTGGGCTCCATTTTGTCCCCCAGGCTTTTACCATTTCAGCCTGGTGCGACACTGCAAGGATACCTGCTGCACCACCAGCCCCGCTCCACCAGGCAACTCAGCAACCCTACTTGTGTTCATCAAGCAGAACTAGGGAGCTGCAGTTTGAAGACAGGGAATGGGTTTGGGCCAGGGCATGCACCAGCCAGGCTCCTTGATCCTCTCCTCTGAAACTGGGTTGAGGGTGACATGGGGCAGCTTGATGTGCCACTCAACTAAACAGAACCGGGCAAGGGCGGACCCCCAGGAGGGTGTTTGGGAAAGGGACCAGTCAGGGTAAGGAGGCCTTTGGAGCGCTGGGGACGAGCCGGGATTCCAGGGTGATCTATCCCGTTCAGGGGCCTTTTCTAGAGCGTGTTCTGTGGAAGGCTGGACCCATGATATGCTCTGAGAACAAAAGGTTCCGAGGTCAGCCTAATTTGGGAAATGCTAGCTCCTGCTATGTATCTGTATCCCTC